GATGGCCTTCTGCGGGAAGTTGATCAATAGCCATCTCACCTCGCGTTGGACACGGGGATAGGGGAATCGAGTGACCAGTTCAACAGCAATAGACGGGTCCTCGGCCCAGGCTACACGAATGAGGGGTGCGAGGGCAGTCTGCACTCATTGTTAGTAACATTCCCGAATTGCAAAAGTCACCACGTACCTCGATAGCAGCCTTGTTAGCTTGTCCGTGAGCCTTGGTGGGCTCGCCGAGTGGGTGAACCCACACCGACAAACGCGTTTGTTCGCTCTCAAGTAGGAAAACGAGAAGTTGCTCCTTGGCCTGCAGGGACTTGATCGTGTCTGCAGCGTTTGCTCCGATGAATGCAACATGCTTCAATGCCGCCACGATGTCGGTCAAAAGACGAAGTTCCGTCTTCAGCTGCAGGATGTTGCTACCGAAGGACCATCTTGGAGCGTAACGGAACCAGCTGAGTGCGGCAGACAAGATCTTTTCCTTGAATCGCCATTGGGCGATGGCGCCAATGGTGGTACAGACATGCAGCACCTTCAGTCCGAACAATACGATCTGAAACCGCAGTTCTCGTGCCATCGGGTGAGGCGTCGATGATCGCACAGCATCCAGAGTGACATCCAGCATGCGCAGGAAGACTCGCTGGACATCCGGGCTACCCAAGCGGGTGGCATTAAAGTGGCTAGCGAAGAATTGCAACAGCCTCATGTGGGGTGACAGCAGGTTGTGCACCTGCTGCTTGCGCTTGGCTAAGGCCTCAAGATCACTGGGCGCGAACTCTTCCTTCAGGAAGAAAGGGTCTGGGTGCCTGGAAATCTGTTAGTCGCGTTGAAGAAAAGGGGTCAGATGACTTACGACATGGCATGACTAAACAGCCCGAGACCGCTCTGAATGGTCGCCTCCCATTGTTGAGCAATTTCAGTAAGAAGTCTAGGCTCAAGGCGTGGATTCTCGTTCATCACGCCCAACCACAAGGAAACACCCAGCTTGATAGACTGCTTTGTGAACATGGCGAAGGGGATGCTAACAAGGTAATGTGCAACAGCGGATTCATCGCGATTGCTGCGGCAAAGCAGGGCTGCAGCTCTGCGCAGGATATCGCGGACTTCGTTAAGAGCGGTGGTCTTCTTGCTCTTGATGCGGGCTTCAACATGCGCCAGAGCGGTGGCGGCGTTCGCACTATCGCTAGCACTCGATCCTGACGACTGCAAGAAAGACGCTCTACGGTTCAATTGCATGAAGTTCACAAGTTCGTTGCCGCGTTCGGGTAGCGTCTCGCCATATCGGTACTCTTGACGAGTGGTGTACTGGGCAACGAAGTCAGATCCAGTGTTGATGCTGCATTCTCCGACCCGATCGAGAGACTGCAGTCTTTGGTCGGTTGACGGCATGAGAGAGCCAAGCTCGATAGCAAAGGAGCGACCCAAAGAGATGTGGCCATATGCTCCTTCGTCGTCGAACTCGGATAAGTACGTCTGGAGAAGACCCTTGATATCGAGGGGTGCTATGCTGATAACGCTCGAAACCCATTGCTTGGCTCTGCGGTTCAGAACGTCCAGGGTATGGCGGCGGAATGTGTAATCGTCGGATAGCTCGACAGACACGTCTCCGAGACTGGAGGTGAATTTGGATCGCGGTGCGTACAAATCTGTTTCAGCTTCCAAGCAGCTCGACCACATCAGAGAAAGGAGCTCCAGCAAGGCGAAGAGCGATGATCTGTGGCAGAGAGCAGAAGGAACCTGGGTGATGATGCGGTCCGCACAAGTAAAGGCCGCTTGCTGAACTCGCTCGATCCGATGGCAGCAGCCACAGAAGATGGCAACGAGCTGTGCGGCAGCATACTGGGCAGAGAAAGTAGCGTCCGTACCGCCCAGAGTCTTGCGCAGATACTTGTCCACTACAGCGGCAGCAATGCCCTCCATAGTACTGCTGACCTCTCCTCTACGCATGCTGGGCTCTAAGAAGTACGACAGAGCCTTGGTACAATCTCCAGCATCCGCTCGAAGACTCTCAACCAAGTAAGCGGCGTGCAAGAAGATCACCTTGCGGTAACTTAGTCCCTTGATTTCTGTAGCCTTGTTAGGAATCAGCTCAGTGAGATGTCTCTTCTGCAGCGACTCTCTGTCGGAGCTCATGCCTCGACGCAGAACGGTATTAAGCTCGATGTCACTCTCAATTTGTTCCCCTCGTTGTTCGGCAACCAGAGGGGGCGAATGAACGGCCATAATTCGAAGCTCATCGAGATAGGTCTTGCCCATGTCGGTCTGCGTAGTGAAGCCGTGGACGACAATGTTGAACCAAGCATCTCTGATCATTGAGTGCGACTCGTCATCAGTAATAGTATTGAATGCCAGATCGTTGGTGGACATGAAGACAGCCAAGGGATGCAGCAGCTCCGCAATCTCTCGGGCAGCCAGCTGGACATCGGCCTCCTTGGTATGGTTCGACTGGTGAACGTCGCCCATGGAAATGATGCTCTCCAACAGATGCTCCCAGTAAATATCATAAAGGGGAGATCCACGGTGGAGGTTCGCTGAGATATATGTACGCGCCTTCATGACCTAGTGATTGTTAGATTTGGATAATCTGAAAGACGATTGGTAAGGATGCACTCACAGCAACCAAAAGGAAGTCCTTGTGGCCGACAACTCCAATATGACAAATTCTAGAGAACACCTTCAACAGCGATCGGAATTCAAGCTGTCCGCCCTTCAACGCGAGAGCGGCAGCACCACTGACGATTTGAGCATCGACACTGCTATTGACCTTGTCGATTTTCTGAAGCAGCATGGACTGCGCCAAGGCTGTGATCTTCTCGTCATTACAAGCAGTAGCAATGCCACAGATGGCCTGAACGACGTTGCCATACACCATCGCGGTTTCTTCCTCGCCGGTGATGGCTAAGGAGATGCTGCTGCCAGTTGAATGGCGATTAGGGTACAACGTAGCAGCAGCGTCCACGGCGAGATCACCATTGGTGCCGTTCGTCATGGATCTATCGGAGCCAGGACTGAGAACGTTGCCCAAGGTGTAAAGAGTTGTGATGACGGCGTCATGAGAAAGGAGCTGCAGAACAAACGCCAGACTCTTAGAGGCGACCGCAACAGTGCGAGCGTTGGGCGCGCTCTGCACAATGAATCGAGGCAGCAGTCTACTAGCGGTCGCAGCGTATCCCCTGGAAATCTTGCAGACCAAGGCAATTGATCTCAAGACAGTTGCCGCCAGGTTTTCATCCGCCATTTGGAGAGGGTCTGCAAGAGTCTCCTCCAGCCAGTTAATCAAGACATCGACGTCTGCAACATCCTCGTTCATGAGCGAGCAATTGAGATAGCTGATGAGAGCTGCCGATTTCACTGCAAATGCCAGTCTCTGCTGCCAAGAGGACCCAAGCTTGAGGTAGTCTTCGCCAGCTTCAAGATAGTTCATCTGATCAACAGCTACCGTGGTGTACATGTCGAGAGACCGGTAGTCCGCATCGGGACTGCGTGGAGAACCTGGTCTGAATGCCCCATCGCCTGACATGAGCAGGTCGAGGATGTGGGTGCCGCGCAAGAGGGATGCGTCGGTGACCAAGAGTGAGGTGCCAGAGACAAGGAGCCACATGTAACTTCTTTGAAGTAAGATAGCTCCAAGGGGTCGTCCAGCAGCAGAGTAGTGGCGCAAGTATCTCTTCCACTCCCTGGCATGGCGGTCCGAGGACTGTGAGTTCCTGATGGTAGAAAAAGCCGTCTCGACAGCAACCAAGAACGACTCTGAGAGGATATCTCTGAACCGCTGAACCAGTGCCAGTCTACCTCCAGCCCTCCAGAAGTCTGCTTGGGCCGATGCCGCATCAAGGAAGCCAAGCAGCGAGACTGCAATCGTAGCTGTCCTGATAGCGTCTTCCAAGTTCGGGTCTTCATCGTCCGCTTGAGGGGGTACAGTGTGATCCGCCGCATGATCGCAGGCATTGACAAATGCCCAGATGTTGTCGGAAATCATCTCGTGCAGATCATCGTAGTGGGAGCCGAGGGACAGCAGCGCGGCCGTGACGTGGAATGCCAGTGCCTCCGTCGGTGATGGCTCGACCTTTCGGAAGAAGGGCGACGGAACAAACACTTGGACGTGGGCCTCCAGAACATAGGGAATCAATTGATGGGCGAGCTTCTGGGCGCTCTGGCTCGTCTGAATAGCGGGTGCGGCTTTGCATAGCGATAGGAGGACCTCGAATTCGCGAATTGTCTACAGAAATAGGGGGCTTGTTAGCCATCGCTCACTACGAAACACAACGATACCAATCGCATAGCTTATGTTGAGAAGTGCACTACCATGGGACATCTCCCGAGAGATGAAGAGTTCTGCTTTCCAGAATAACCATTGACTCCCTTCCCAGCGGCCTGGGTTGCCTTGCACAATCGGTCGAGATCAGAGCGGTCGAACGATGTACGCGAGCTGGCAGCAGAGAGCGACGCGATCTTCTCCAGCGCCCGCTGCCGAATGTCGCGGGTCATCTTGACGAAGTTCCAGGGCTCTAGACCCCGTAGCGGGAGGTTTGGTCGATAATGCAAGGGATTTGGTATTTTTCGTGATTTATGGAAGCATTTCACGATGGTGAGGTTTTCCTTGGAATTCGCGTCTAATTGCTAGCAGCTGCACAGTGACGATACCTTGTCTTTAGTGGTGTCTGCAAGCCTCCCCCAAATTTCCCATCTGAGAGCAGCCACATCCCTGCACAGCACCTGCCATTCCAGAGCTCTTCTGCCTTAGTCATCAGGTGAGCTAGCTACCCCTGCCAACCACCACCACCACCACCACCCACCCAGCAAGGCTGCCAGCTTGACGCGTGCACCGGAGCACTCAGCAGTAGCAGCCTTGAACCTCAATCAAAGCGACGACGTCCCATCAACCCAACCCCACCAACGAACGAACCTCATCGAATTGACGATAACCACCCATTTGACGACCGGCATTTCCATCACGAACGATAACGAATAACCTTTATTTCTCTTCAGATACCGCAGCCATGGCTATGTTCAGCCAAAATCCCCTGATGAACGGGCCCAACTACTCCTTCTCCGAGGCCCCCAAGACCGCCAATGGCGAGTTCAGGCAGCACCGCTTCAACCCGTACGAAGCTTCCCTCGACCCTCTCATCGTTCCCAAAGGCTAACCTACCCTGTGCTACAGCTACACGGACAACGGCGGTTCAACCCTCGCCATCGCCGGCGCCGACTTCGCCATCGTAGCCGGCGACACCCGTAGCACTTCGGGCTACAGCATCAACTCCAGATACACACCCAAGGTCTTTAAGATCGGCGGCACCACCTCAACACAAGAAGATGCGACAATCATGCTCTCCGTCGTCGGTTTCGCTGCCGACGGCGAGGCCCTCAAGGACCGCCTCGACACCATTTGCAAGATCTACCGCTACCGCCACGGCAAGCCCATGAGCGTCACAGCCTGCGCGAAGCGTCTCTCGACGATCCTTTACCAGAAGCGCTTCTTCCCCTACTACGTCTACGCCATCCTCGGCGGCCTCGACGAGGAGGGCGTCGGCGCCGTCTTCTCCTACGACCCCGTCGGAAGTTACGAGAGAGAGCAGTCCCGCGCTGGTGGTGCCGCTGCCAGCTTGATCACACCATTCCTCGACAACCAGGTCAACTTCAAGAACCAGTACGTGCCGGGCAGCGGTGTGGGCCACGAGCTGCAGGAGCGTCCCCGCGTTCCCCTGGAGCGCAAGGAGGCGGAGATTCTGGTCAAGGATGCGTTCGACGGAGCGGTCGAGAGACACATTGAGGTCGGTGACCACCTGCAAATGATGGTCATTACCAAGAACGGCATCGAGGAGGTCCTTCTCCCCTTGAAGAAGGACTAAGGGAATGATGGGGTTCTGGGAAAGAGTTGCGGTTGGGGGCGTTGTACACTACAGACAGGTAGCAATGCCAAAGAGGCACTTGTTCAGCTGATCAACCATCTTATGCGGTTCAATCTTAAGCCTGCGTATTCACAGCAAACCAAAGTCCATTTGCAACTCATGCAGCAGTTCCCCTTTGAATCTCAAGCTGCGAGGCCATCTGGGAGATCTGGTAGGTCGTTGGCTCTGCCCCGAGACAAGCATGGAGGAAATGGAGGCATGCAGGCAGGGATATCTCATTTCGCCTCGCAGGACGCATCGGTTCCCCAGGACGAACCGATGGTCTTTGACCCCTTTTCTGCTGCATGTGATGCCACACAGCTCCGCGGCATGCACTAGGCCATAGACCAAGGGGGAGGAAGACTAACAGGGACGAGTACGAATACGGAATGAACGGGTCGGATGCTTCAATTTTCCAACTTCCCCCTTTGGAGAGCCCTCCCCCATCATCATCACTTGACGTTGGGTGAAATCTGGTGCTATACTCTGTAAGACTTGCTTCCGTGGCGCCAGCGAATTAGGTGTAGTAACTCCTCTTCCGTTTTTTTGCGCGGTAAAGCTGTGTTTCTAGGCATGCAGCATCCTCCCCTTTTCTTTCTCGCACTGCCAGCCGTACTTGGTAAGCTGGTCGTCCCGAGGAAATCGAGCTCTTCCAAACGGCTTGTCATAGGTGAGCCCCAGGCCCCAGAGGTTCCAGATCCAAGTCCAGGGGCAGGTTCCAGAAAACGGCACTAAGCGCAGCAAGCGAGGACGGGCAGAAAAGAAAGGGAAGGACATCGCGGACGGGTATTGGACGTTGGGCCGCCCCGTTCCTGTCAGACTACGGGTACGGGCTGGACCGAGTTAGCGAGGGAACGAGGCACGAAGGCAGCGGAGGCTCTTTGGGAAGGAGGAGGATCGCGGACGGATAGTTGGAGCAAGTGGCAAAATACCGCGTGCTCGGCGCCCGCCCCGTTTGAGATAACCGCCTGGTAGGGCCTGGCTTTTGCATCTGTCTGGCTGTCATCTAGGTGTCTATCTGTGAGTGTGTCTCTAGAGACAGCACAGCCACGCCAAGGGAAGCCGGCTAGAGCCCTTCCCCAGCCTGTGTAATCCGGTATATCGGTAGCGAAACGGTCTTAGACGACCCGAGTGAGCTATCACGGGGGCAGCGGCAGGTCCAGGTCAACCGTATCAAAGGGGCCTCCTGAAAATCCTGGAGATTGGAGCCTTTGCCAGGGGCTAAATGAGCCAGAACCGCGAGCACCGAATAGCTTGGCGGATGATGCTGGATAACGACGGACATGCCTTTCATCGAGAAGCTATTATACGGGGTCTCATTGGTAGCCTAAACGAAGCAAGACTGCAGCTTTTCACCCTGCCCCCGGCCTTGCGACCACCTGACCCCCGCCAGGGCTATCGGGGAGGCTATCCGAGTAGAGGAGCTCTCTGCATTTCTTGCCTGTCATTGCCACAATTGTACGATACAAGGTTATTGGATTCTCGAGCTACTTTACTGTACGACTGTACTACGGGACCGCCTAGGGCTGGAAGGCGGGCTATTGACAGCTAACGTCGAACAACTGATTCGTAATCTAGCATAAGCTTCTCCTCTTCAGACGCAATGCCGCTATGGGCCCAGAGAGTTTCGAGATGCGATCGTCGTCGGAAGCTTACTGTCCAAAGGTATCCTCAAAACCCCACCACCACCTACAAAGCCACCAGGCACCGCCGAAAATCTCAGCTTCTAACGAAACAGGTGGTCTGTTTGCCACTGGAGACGTATGCTGATCCTCCGGTGGTGAAGAAGGGACGGACCATGGGCCAGTACGTCGCAGGCCTGGAGAGCTGAACCCTTGTTGCATTGCCGATGAGCATTACAGGGAATATTTCGTCTTATTACGACCTGAACGGGCTTGAGCTTGGATAGAGGCGTGTCACCCCAAGACGGGAAAAAGCATCTTATCTTCGGTCCATGCCGATTGTGGAGAGGATGCCGATATGACGGTATTCGAGAGGGTATTTGGCTAATTGTCGGTAAATCAGGGGATTTGCCATCTCAAGAATAGCCATTACCCAGGATTACGTCAGACACATTGCCATTTCTAGTTGAGATGAGTTTATATCGAAACATCAAATGGCTGATGTAAATCGTCGTCAATCGTCGTCAAACGTGCATGGGATGTACAGATAATCGTTACGTATTTGGGCTAGACGTGGCTGATGTTGCATCTGGAGTGTGGCTTGCAACGGCAAGGGTCGTTGATGTGGTTGCACACAGTAGCATCATCGTCCAGGGCCTCGGAGACAGCTCCTCCAACGAAATCAAGTCTTTCACTGCGCAGCTGGTGAGTCTCAAGTTTGCTAGGCGCTAGGCTTGTTGACATGGAACACCTGGCGAACGATATCGCACACAAACCTTTGAAGCGACAGATTGTGCGTCGCCACCGTGGCGCACGGTCGAGACCCAGGTAGTCAGATGGCGATGCACGAAACTGTCAAAGTCGTCAATTCAAGTCGAGGTCCATTGACAAGCCACCCAAGCGTAGAACTCAGTAGCTTTGGACGACAGCCTCTGTAGCTCGGGCATTTTGAACCGAACAAGCACTGACGATGTAAGCTATCGGCCAGACTGCACTAAGCGAAATCTGGTTCTGGTTGCGAAGAAACGAGGCTTCGACTTTTAACGTAGAAGACCACGCTTGCGTGTCCTACGTCCGAGGGTCGAATTATATGTCAAGGCGATGTCACCCGTATGCCCACGTCTCGAATGGCTGCTTCTCCTCATGCAGCCGCGGCGACTGATCAAGTATCCAAGTGCCTCAGCTAGAACGTTGGCGAGAGGGACTGCTGAAGTTTGAGCCGCCTTGTTAGCAGCGTCTTGGGCTGATCATCGTTTGAGGCTGCTGCGCGTTGTCATTGACATGGGATATGCCGCTGCGCCGTCTTTGAGTGACGGACTTCAAACCAACAACTGGTGCCACTCCAACGAGTGAATGAGGTAATGCCGCGCCAAGATGATGCAGAACGCAGCGACTTTATTAGTCTCTCGGTCGAATACCGTTCTCCTTTCATCTGCCCCGGGCCACAGTAGACTGCATTAGCTAACTCATTTAGTCCCACGACGGTAGACTAGCCGCGGAGAAAGCTGCCAGACCAGCCTTAGCGGCTGAAGACAGGGCGCCGTGCTGTCGCGGCGAGGTACCGTGTATCTGTGCGACTGGGCGTCTGGCGTTCTTGGTGCTGGTCGTCAATGACGCTGTAAGTCGGTCAGGCCTTCAAATGTCTGATGCGCTCGGCAATTTGGGCATTCTCTTCTCAAGACATTGACGGCTCGCGCAAGCGCACCTGCAGTGCCTGGCCATCAAGAGAAGACCGTATCGTGTCCGGATAGGTTATTGACCATGGTACGCCACACGCATGGCACTTCGGGTGGCACGTTTCCGGGGTCGGGGTGCAAAGAGGACCCTCATTGTTACTGCTTCGACGGGTTCTAGCCATGCGTGCCATGATCTCACCCCCGGATCATAATGTGGTAGCAGTGACGATTCTCGGAGGATGCGTGCCACATGCAACGCAGATCTCGGTGCGGATGGGGTAAAGGATCGGCGCCGGTCAAGCTGGAGCCTTGGTCAGTTGTGGCGAAACCCCGACCGGCAAGCCGCAATACTCGGCCGCGCGGTTTCTCTGGTGTCAAACGGCAGTTCAGCATCCTCGCATCCTTGGACGGCGTGCGCCGTGGATATTCTCTGCTTTCTTGGTTGAATTTCACCTCCGGCGGTCCCGCGTTCCTGGCAAACCCATTCGAAGCATACTATGATGGGCCGGTGAATGATTGGATCTCGGCCAAATTGCCAGAGATGTAAGTGCAGGATGGATACAGGTAACAACCACATACTTGGCCCGGAGAGGAACTTCCGGCTGTCACAAGTCTAGATAGCTGCACTAGACTTGCCACGATTGATTGGACCCAGGTGGTTGCGGTGGACGGGTAAGGGTCCTGCTGCTCAGGCACAGGGTTCGGGCGATGACTCGGGCTATCGGGGTTGGCGCCGAAGAGGTATCTCTGGGTGAAAGAAACGATGAGATTGGACAATGGCTTGACGAGTGACTGACTGCGGTAAGAAAGCTTCCCAACAAGCTTGAGACAGACCTTTTTGCCACAAGCATTCGAGATCGTTGCGGGAGAAGGAAAAATGCTGCCGCTACAGGCTTTCGGCTTGCCAATTGGCATAGATGAAGGGATCAGGCCTGCTGGAGAGGAGAGTGACACCTCCAAGGGCAGTGGGGGTAACGTAATGCAAGTGGAGGTCTGAAAAAAATCGAAAAGTTTGGAGAATCCCATGTTGACAGTGCCGTCAAAATTTTGGCGCGGCGGCTTTGTATAGTCGTGGTTGCAAAAGATTTCGGGTAAGGAGACCAGGGGGGGGGGGTACATTTCCGAGTACCTCCATAGGTACCTGCTCTGTAAGTTGGAAGGCATGTACCCATCCATACTTTGGTACCTACCTATGAGGCAAGTAGGTAGTCTCCGTTGACGCAGCAAGCAGGCTGGAGCAATGCTTCAAGGAGGAAGGAGCGGAGAGATATGAGGCGAGGCGAGGCGAGGCGAGACAATTGACAACCTAGAGGGAAGGAGGAACAAGGCAAAAAAGCAAGGACAAACTTGGCCATCTCAGCTTACCTTCAAAGTACACAGTAGAGAAACTGCCTATGTGTAGCCAAGACAATGCAAACAAGCACCGGTGGCCCCCAAACTCAAAGGCGTCGCCCTATATGTGTGTGTGACCTTATTCCCATCTGGCCCAATAGAATACTGAATCGTAGATCGAGCTGTTGGACCCTGAACACCACTTGTGAAGCTGACTGCATGTCAAGCAATGATAGAGAGGTAGATGCCTTACATCTTGGAGGGTGGACTCGCAGTTTGTCAATTGGCATCATTCGGAGACACTCCGGCAAGAGACCGAGCTCCTCAAGAC